GTTTTGCTAAATAGGATGCTAGTTCTTGAATACTTGTCAGCTTTCTAGAACTAGGAGCTCCACTGAAAATTTTGTTCTCTTATTTTTGGCCATCTGCTAACATTTTATAATTGCAAATTCCAGTGAAAATGTGCAATTCCTATTAATTAGAGATGAAGATGGGGATTTTCATCTGCCAAGGAATATGTGTTCATGACTGGGGATTTTCGTCCCGAATCCAAGGCATTTGAGATCCTGTTTGTGGGATGCATGCCCATGTTCATGATTTGGCACAACTGTGAAATTCCCAGTCATTATGCATTGCCACATGGAATATGTAAGAAATATTCAATCCTTTTGTTGCTGAGCAAAGGATCCCATGTTTGTATTTCATAGGCGTTAGCAGATTGGAATCCTTGAATACAGGTGATGACTTGATGTATTCTGATCATCGTCATAAACCTGGAGGAAGCTTCTCTGATTGACAGACCAACTTTGAAAATTACATGAAATGTGTTTTATTGGTTTTGGTTTTTCAGTCAGATTAATATTTATATTGAAACCTAATGTAGCACAATCCGGTCACTCCTATTTGGTACTTACGTGCCTCCTGAAAGATACCTGAGAAGAAGGAGAATTCGGGGAGATTTACCCGGCGGGAACACTCCGATGATTAAGTTAGTACTCGGTAAGAGAAGCAAGCAGAAGATGAAGGCTAAGAGTGCAGATAGCGCAAGTATTGAGGATGAAGATAATCAAGATCATACCTGTTCTCCTTGATACTAAACTCCTTATAGCAGAAATCGGTTGCCCCTGGCCCCTTGGCCTCTGACAAGGTGGGTATAACCGCCACTGTCAACCTACCGCAGTCGTTATTGGCAGGGATGAGGTGGCACGCACGGGGCCATCACCATAGGGTACGTGCCTGTCAGGTGTAAGACACCCTCTAAAGGTGGTAGGCACGATGCTGCCTGACGGGGGACATGGCTGCTGTCACCAGATTTGTCGGGTATGGCGGTCGGGCAGGAGGTCTTCCTACGATATGCAGGACTATCCTTTCGCGAGTTACCTTGTGCTGGGCTATCTTGTAAGCGGCGAGCTTCCTGTGGCAACCTGAGCCGAGCTGTCTGGCCCGGGGTGTTTTCACCTCGGGTGTTTATAGGCGGATCGGTGCATTCCTGTCTGGGGGTGACCCGAGGTCCATTGGGAGGAGCTCGGGTATTAGGAAAGGACAGGGGACCCCGAGCTCGGAAGCAGCTCGGGGTGCCTTAGCCCTGGGAAGGGGATGCTGGTCGGGCGGCTCATTCGCGAGCTAAAGTTGCCTCGGGGTATTCCTTCAGAGAGTGCTCGGTGAACCCAGAGCTCGCGTCGTGGCGAGCTTCTCCTATTGTGGGCTACGATACAGCGAGCTGCCTTATGGGCCCGGCACTAGGCTATAATGCTGAGCTATTGCTCCTGCTGAGTCAGTGTCCACGTGTCACTGTTTCATAGGTCGGGTGAAACCGTCCTCCATCAATTGCCCCCCACTCCTTGTGCTGAGAGCATTGCCTTTGCGCGAGGAGTTCATGAAGCGTGATGGACTGATTTTACCAAAATTCAAACTTGATTGACAACTCGCGTTAAATGCGTCCGCGAGAATCAAGAAATTTTTTGACTTTTCTGACTTTTTGGATTCCCAAAATGTGCAGAAGTGACTTTCAATTTCGAGCGTTGTGCATCTGTCATTGCCTTAATCATGCAAGGCGTGCCGC